CCACCGGCAGCAGATAATGACTGGGGAGCTGGGCAGGCAGAGCCAACCCCTCAATCAGGAAGCAAATTAAAAAGGGGAGGAATCTCTCAGACAGACCACAACAATGAGACTGGCCCCCTTTCCAGGGCACTGCCTGCCTTCCCCCTTCCCTGTCAGATTTCGCCTGCCAGCTCCTGAATCCCAGCCCTCCCCTCTAATTCCCCTTTCCTGGGATCCAGCTGGAGGTTGTCTGGGTGACCCTGGCTGCAGGTTGGTGGCAGTGCCCGGCTGGCCACGACACAGGATGCTGGGCCTCTCAGTGAGCCTCGTCCACCAGCCTGATCTTGGATTCCTGACAGGGCCCCGGGCACAGTGAGGGGTGAAAGACAAAGGGTCAAGGCATGCTTTTGTGCTTTTGGTGCCACATCTTGATGCCCATGAGGCAAACTCTGGATGGCTGTGACAATGGGATTTATAGAGAACCCACCAACCCCCGGCCTGGCAGCCCATTCTCTGCAAAGGGTGCAATTCAATTCAGCGCAACACATATTTATTGCACACTCAGAACTAGTCATTGTACGAGATGCTGGGGGGATACAAAGATGAACAGAGAAAACTCCAGTCTCTCAAGGGGCTCATGAGCTGACACACACACACAACTAATCGTATCACCCATCAGGCAGTGTTAAGGCCTCTATATTTTAGAACTCTAGGAACACAGAAAAGGGTAACTTGGAGAACTGGGAAGTCTTCATAGATGAGGGGGACATATGAGTTGGGCTTCAAAGGATCAATAGGAGCTCACAGGCAGAGAAATGGGGAAGAACATTTCAGACAAAGAAGACTATAGGGTGTAAAAATGTATGAACAATAGGATGGAGTAGAAGCCCCCTGTGGCTGGAGCCTGGGGAATGAGAGGGTTGAGGTTGGAAAGGTAGGCTGAGACCAGATGGGGAAATGGGGCTTAAATTCCAGGCCAAAGGGTATAGACTTTCTCTTGCAAGGAATGGGGAGCTATTGAATGATTTTGAGATGAGGCATGACATGATCAGAATCCTGCCACCCTGGTAAGAAGAATTTTAACTGCCCACAGAGGGACAAAGAGGATTCTGCTTTTTCTGCCTCTTCTTTTCTCCATGGCTGCTGTCTAGCCAGCCCTTTCTCCCAGCTCCCACTCATTATCCTTGCTCCTTTTGTCCCAAACCTCCAACTCTTTGTTCCAAGCAGGCTGACAGGGCAGAGCGCTTCACTCTCTCCCAGCTCTCACCCCAACCCTTCATGTCTCAGACATCTTGCTAGGTCCTTCAACCTCCATCACACAAGTGGGGGAGGGGCTGGGTGATGGGACAGCTGGTGGGGAAGCTGGGCTCGCTTCCTTCACGGATCTTTGGGTGTCAAGGCTTCTGTTGTGTCTTCCCTCCCTGCCCAGGTTTCTGCCTTCACCATTACCCTCCCCGACTGAGGAGCTTCTGGAAGCTTTTATTCCAGGGAAGAACTTTTCCAATTCACTCATCTGTGGCCTATCTGCCCCTTCTCAAAGAAAGGTGCTGAGCTAAGGACCGTGTGGCATGAAAAGGACATGGTTCCTGCCCTTCAGGAGCCTACTGACCAGTAGGGAAGATAAGACAACTCTGTGGAAACAGGGCATGTGGCAAGCAGTGCTAGGGAAGTTCACAGGAGCAAGCCAGTGACGTGCTGGTAAGAGAAGGCTTCATAGAGAAAGCATGAGGCTGGAGCTTGGAGGATGAGAAGCTTTCCTGAGGGCAGATGGGGTGACAGGGGTGGAAATAGTTGGAGCAAACTAGGAAGGCTAGACACGTTTAGTGAAGATTAAGTCCAGTGGGCTGGGCTGGAGGCTCTGTACAAAGACCATTGCAAGTGCAGACTGGGAAGGTGATGGAGGCCCAGTAGGAGGGTCTTAAATGTCATGGCTAGCATTGGGGAGCCACTGGACGTGTTTGAGATGAAGTGTGCCAAGGTGGAGGGACATTTCAAGATGATTAATCTGGTATTGGTCTGCGGGACACCTTGGGTAGGTGGGCAGAGAAGTGGGAGAAAACCCATAGGAGGCCTAAAAAATAATCCAAATGAGAAGCAATTCCTGGCAGCTACTCATCCAGGTGGGCCCGCTGTACCCCTCAGATCAAACTACCTACCACTTAATAAATCCTCGCTGTGCTCTGTCAGAAAAAAAAAAAAAAGTAATTCCTGTCACCAAGTTGGCACCTCTCTAGAATTTTCACAGATCAGTGCCCATCTCCAACTCATTCATTCGCTCATTCATTCAACAAATATTTAAGCCACACTTACCAAGTACCAAAAACCATTTTAGGCTATTTCTTCATTCCTTTCTTCTCTCTCTCTCTCTCAGGTAAACTCTCACCTGCGCACATCTGGGGCCTTAGCCCAGCCTCCTCCTTCCCCCCACCCCCAAGCTAATCCAGTAACTTCTGCCTTTGGAGCAGGTATATGGAAAAAAATTAGAGAACTACACACAGTAAGGATTTGGGGGATGGCACGAGGTAGGAAAATCTGAGGGCAGGAGGGTAAGCAGCTTGGGCAGCAGAAAGCTCTTGATGGGAGGGAAAAAGCAAAGTTGACAGCTGAGTGTAGGGGGGGACCTGGGATCTCTGGGGGAGGGAGGCTGGGGGAGGAGGAGAGAGGTGGAGAGAAGAGTGGGAGACAGGCCTCTGGGTGAGAATGGGGGCCAGGAGGGAGGGAGGGACAAATTAGAGAGCTGGAGAAGGAAGTAGAGACTTAGCAGCTAGAGGTGGGTGAGGGAGGAGGTGGGGCTGGGAGGCGAGGGCAGAGGAAATGGGCCCAGGCACTGGAGACAAAAGTCTGGGCGTCTGAGCCTCTGAGGAGCCGCCTGGAAGGTGCAGGCAGCGGCAACATCAAACTTGGGATTGGAAGGTTGGCTCTGGGAGTGAGCTGGAGCTGGGTGGGGGTGGCTGCAGGGGGAACTGAGAGCAAGCGAGAGGGGCTTGAATCTACCCCGAACCCTGCTGGCTCTTTCCTCTGAACGCCTGGGCTCCAGAGTCCCACCCCTGACATGTAGGTTGAGGCCCCATTGGGCACCCACCCCCACTTGCCTACCTCATGACTGGTCGTGGGAAAGCACTTTGCTCCAAGGTGCGAATAGAGAGGAGGTAAGGGGGTCTCCTGCCAGACAGGGTCCAGGTGAACCAGGATCCGGGTAAAGCCCCTCCCCGCAAACCAGGCAGGGTCTCCACGCGCTCTTTACTGATCAGAGAGCTGGGGAGGGGTGTGGGCCAGCAGGTCCAGGCCAAGGGCTTCATCCTTTCCTCCGCCCAATCCCCCACCCCACCAGATTCTCCCATTTTGGACTGGACCTGCTACCTAAGCATATGGAACCGATTGAAAGAAGTTGTATGCTCACCTTATAATTTATGCAAATCAACTCTGTAATTAACTATAATTTGGAGGCATCCTTTGGTATTTGAGACATTTATCCATGAGGAAATGCCCTAGTGATAATGCTCCCGTATTAACATTATTTACTCCACCTGTGTGGTCTCCTCGCCTTGTTTCCCCCCTCACTCTGATTTTCTGGGTGGAAGGTGGGGAGGGCCAGGGAAGCCCCTCCCTGGAGCCTGCCTCCGTCCTGACGCCTGGGCTCCCCCAGGGAGTTGTACTCCAGCCCCGTCCTCTTAATTTTCCCTGGGATTAAAGGAAAGGGTGCAGCTCTGCCTCCTAAGCCTCCGACCACTCTACTCTCTCCTGCCTGATGAGTGGCTTTCTGCTGAGCTTTTTCGCGCTCTTAAGGGCCTCAATGTTCTCACCTCTGAAATGTGTAGACGAAGGACCTGTTGGGGCCTTTACAGGATAATTACTGAAAAGCTAATGAGAGGACTGGGAATCTTCAGTCTAGAGATTTCTAGGGGTGTAGGGGGAGGAGCAGGACAAGAGTTCAGGGTGAAGATGCCCTGACTGAATGGGATGTGGTCACGAGAAAAGTCTCCAGGCCACTCTCCTATGTGGGTCATAATTCCTAGTTTCAGAGTGCTTTGGGAAACCAGTCTTATCCTGTTTCATCTGCTTTCCCCTTCCTGGTCTTCTGTCCCTCTCTGCTCCAGGACATGCTCCTATTAGCCAGCATGCCTAAACTCACAACCACCCTAAAATTCAGTTCATGTAACTAGTTGGGGACGATGGGGGTCCACCTAAATTCACCTCCAGGCCCCTTCTCCCTTTCCAGGCCATGTTCCCAGCCTCTTCACTCTCTTGGAGTTCTGGGATTCCTGAATTATCCATGAAAGGTCTTGGCTGGGCTCTGCCTCTGGTTCTAGGTGAATTCTTGTCCATTCCAAGCTGCCCCATGCTATCCTAAGTCAGGGAGAGGGTCTTCCCTCCCTATTTGACAATGAGAGATCCCAGATCCAAAATGTGAATTATATTGGACCCTCCTGGTGGTTCCAAGTTGAGAAGTAACTGAAAAGGAGACAAAGGAAAGGGAGGAGGAACAAGGCTCCAGCAGAGGAGAGACCCGCTTCAGCTGCCAGAGTAGCCAGGAACACTGCTGGGGAGCTCTGCAGGGAGGGACCGTGTGAAGGGGAGAGTGTGTGTGTGTGTGTGTGTGTGTGTGTGTGTGTGTGTGTGTGTGTGTGTGTGTCAGGTCTTAAAAGTGGTACTTGTTTCTCTCCCACCATGTCCATGGAGGAAACAAAAGGAGGGGGTTGGAATTTGGAGAGTTCCAGCCATCCCCGCTGTCTCCCCTGGCGATGCTCTCATTTCCTCCATCCTGCAAGAACCACGTTTGTCCCTCTCCCACCACCTGGCCAACCTCTGGGGAGGGAAGGATGTCCTGCTCCTCCCCACCCCGATCCCCACCCCCACCCTCAGCTGCCTCTTCCAGCTGAAATCCTCCTTTCCTGGCAGACCTCAGAGACTCAGATCTCAGCCCCACCACTCCCCCAGGAGAGCCGGGGGCCACTGTTTCCTGGATTATCCTAAAAGCTTCCGTGGCCGTGAGGACTTGGCAGCGTCCCTGCCCGAGTCTCTCACCTCCCACTCTGGCTCTGACTGTTGCCTCCTTTATAAAGCCTGGCTCTTCCATCACCCCCACTTGCCCCTCACTGCCGCTGCCAACTCTGGGCTCCATGGACTGGTAAGAGGGGCTGTTCCCTGTCCAGTTCAGGGGACAAGAGGACCAGGTCTTCACTCTAAAGTGGGGATCATTGAGAAGGGGTTAAAAGGCTTGATTCTCTCTGTACTGGGGAGGGGGACCTAAGAGGGAGATAGTGGATGCATGGAGAACGAAAGAGGGTTCCTTGAGGTCTCTGGACTGGGCTGAGATCTGAGGGAGAAGTGGAGTGGTGATTCACCAGTTTCACTGGTTAATAGATGACTGGGGACTTCATTCTGAGGAAATAAGATGGGCTAATATAACAGACATACAGGGCACACACTCACCACATGGAAGTTCATGCATGAGAGCATATCTGCAGAAGTCATAAGGGAGAAACCACTGTGCATGGCCTGTGGGGAACACCCTTTATGATGGAGGAGAGAGGACAGACACCCCACATTCAAGCCCCAAAGGTACACACTGGTGGGTAGGTACACACTGGTGTGGTGGTTACACACAGGCATGGTGGGTACACACACATCTGTAGATACACACACACACACACACACACACACACACACACACACACACACATAAATGCACTAGCCTCAGTTGGGCTCATCTTTCAGACCAAGAGTGGTTGTGATGCTAATAGGGACATTTGGGTTTATAATACAATTAGTACTCAGGGTAGTGCTTGGCCCTGGGTAGACCCTCAGTAAGTGTTAGTTCAGTGAATAAAGGATGAATGAAAGAAAACCATTTGGCTCCAGCTCTGGACCTTGTCCAGTTTCCCAGGAGCCTTGAAGAGTGTGGGGGAGAGGAGGGGATATGAGGAAGGTGTTAGTGTCCGTGACCACCAGCTCGCAGTTGGCTGAGTGCAGCCTGGAAGTGGGGGATGGGAGAAGGGAAGAGTGAGCAACTAGGAGACCAGGAATCAGGAACCAGGGGTTCTGGTCCCTGCTCTGCTTCTAACTTGTGTGACTTTGAGCTACTTGCCTCCTTGTTCTGGGGTTTAATTTCCCCTACTAGCAAAATGAGGGTTTGCACTGGACAATTTTTATGGGCAGAACAGTGTATAGCGTTCTGCACTATAAGAATGCAGATATCTATATTCTTATAGTGCAGCACTATATTCTTAGAGTGCAATCTCCATGGAGGGACAGTTGAGGTTTGGAAGAGACCACAGCAATCCAATCCAAGATGGGACCAGTTTGTCCTATCTTAGTAACAGGATCTTGATGGCTTTGATCTGGGGAATAGTTTAAAAATGTTGTCCTCTCCACCTTCAGGATATAGGGGAGCCGGACTGCCAGGGCCATCACTGCTGCCATAGTGAGGCTGGATGGAACAGCAGGCAGAACACGTGTGCTTTAGACCCTGACAGATCTGGACTCAGTTTCCTTCTGTCTCTTAACAGCTCTGTAATCTTGGGCAGGTCATTTAACTTCTTTAATCCTCGGCTTCCTCATCTGTACAATGGGGGGATAATAACAACTACTTTGCTGCCTGCTCATGAAAATTAGAGATATTTGTGTGAAGCACCTGGAACGTAGTAGGTGCCCAATAAATAAATGCTGGTTACTATGAGCATGGAGACCAATAAGGCTGCTCCAGGTACAAAGTGGATTGCTGAGTAAAATGAGGCATGAGAAGCAGAGGGGCGGCAAGAATGGGAGACAGACACTTGTGGCAAAATCTGTCTGTTTACCCCTTTAGTGGAATGAGGGAAAGGAGTAGAAATGGCTCAAGTCCTGGGCAGATCTCAATGGGCTGCATGGTTCAACTTTGAGGTGAGATGAGAACATGGCAGTGGGCAGTGGTGATCTTGGCAGTCACGTCAACAGATCATGAGCACCATTAAGTAAGGAAACATCTAGAAAGTGGGAAATGGAAAGGGCTGGAATCAAAGGAACAAAAGCAGAGGGGTATCTGGAAGAAAAGAAAGTGCCCTGAGTCATAGGCAGAAACCCAGGCAGTGCAGGAAGTCAGAACAGCTGAGTTTTCTGAGACAATTGCATTGCGGTTGAATTTCATGCTGATGAGTGCCAGGCAGATGGAGGGTCTTTGCTTCTGGGAAACCCGGGTGGCTGTGGGTCAGGACCACGTGGGGTGAAAGGGGGCCTGGGGTGAAAGTGGGGTGGGATGTCTACTGTCCAGGGGCTGGATTCCTTTCCCTCTTCTTTCCAGGAAAAGATGGAAGGAGCTAGGAAGACAAGACAATCTGGTGCCTATAAATAAATGGGAGAGGGGGTTCAGGTTTCCCACTGAGAGTCAGATCCTTGCTCAGGTGTTAGCACCTTAAGAGCTGCAGCTTTGGGGAACAGCCAGAGGCCAGCGGGCTGCAGGGAGGAGGAGGAACAAGAGAATGCCTAGGGGTCGAATCAGACTTAGCCCAGGAATTCGAGTAGCGGGCTCTGCAATGTGAGCCCGTACCTCTGTTCCGGACATGGCTGTGAACTGAGGTGCAAAACCAACTAAGTCAAGATTTGCAGGCTGAGTGCACGGAGATAAAGCCGTATGGACAGAGAGGGCTGTCGATTTAGCCGTGGCCACAAAGACCCAGAGCGCTTCTTGAGAATCTACATCTCAGGGGCCCAAGAGTCGGGAATGAAATCTGACTGATCTGAAAGTACAATCTCTAACATCTGGGAGGCACCTCGCGTCTTCCCAAGTGCCTGTCCTCTACCCCGCAGGGCGCCTGCTCTAACCGCATTTCACCCACGAGGAAACTGAGGCTCAGAGCAACCTCATTTGCCAGATCAGCTTAGCAAATGCAGGGCTGGAGCTAGAATTTTGGTCTGTCAACTTCTAGCCCAAAGATCTTTGTGAATATACCTTTATCCAACAAACATTTGCTGGGAACCGACTTATTTAATAATTATAACGCTACCAACGATATCTTCCCTTTACTATGAGCTTACCAGGGGCCCCACAGGCTAAGTGTTTTAAGAACATCAATTCCTTTAAGCCCCAGGAAACCCTCCCAACTTGTACTCAGGTTGTCCAGATGAGGAAACTGAGTCTTACAAAAGAGGGATTTGCACAGATGAATCAGACCCTGATTCTGGATACGAGAATGTGTATGTCTGGTGGGGGGAACCACACACAAAAAGATCGATTTTCAAGTGGCTTGTGGATCAGTTTAGCCGTTTAATAGTCGCACTTCGTATTCAGGACAGGTAAACCAACGGTGGTGGAATCGGGGCTGTACCCGCGAAAACGAATCAGCCTAAATTCTGCTCGGGCTGTACGAAATAGACTGTAAAGACAAAAACGAAGTGAAAAAAGCAGGTGGCAGAGTCCGGAGGGAAAGCCAACCGAGGCAACGAAAAAAATTAGGAAGTTGATCAGAGTGCCCCCTGCAACAAAAGAGTCACTTCAGGAGGTCAAAGCGGCCGGTTCGGGGAGGCACCCACCGGGAAGGGAGTTTCGTACCCGGTCGCACAGGCCATTCCTGGCGGGGGAGGAGAGGGGAACACCCCTATCCACGGCGCTGGATATCTCAACCAACTCTGATCTTGAGAGAAGTTTTTAGGTGGGCGTCGCAAACGCCCTGAAATTCTGCACCGTGTTGCAGAGGGTTGCACTGTGTATGTGCATTTGTTTTTCTCAAAGGAATCCAAGACCCTTCCCCAAAATTATGAACCTTGGGTTTAGACATTCAGATGAGAATCGGGAAGGAATGGTGGCAAGGGGTCGCGCAAATGTTTGCAGAAGTGTCCTTTCCCAGGGCTATCCCGGCGCCTGCCCCATCTTTCAGAGCCGGTGGCGCGCGGGGGCGAGGGTGGCTGGGCGCAGGCTGAGCACCTCTGGGACCGAAGGGAGTTCGGGTGTATTGGAGAGGCGGACCTGGGAGGCGCTGGGGTTGCTGCCCAAGGGTAGATGGAGAGTGAGGGCTGAGGCGCAGATAGAGACGGGCCAGGCGGATGGGAAGAGGAGAGGAGGAGGTTACTCAAAAAAAGGTGAGTGGCCGGAGAAAGAGAGCCGGGCAGCAAGAGAGAGAGAAAGGACCGGGGAAGGTGCTGGTGGTGGAAAGAAGCGGCGGGAGGAATGGTGAAGGAGGTCAGCGGCTAAGAGCAGCTTCTCACGGCCCAGGTCTGGGGGTACACCGGACACATCCTTGGCGCTCAATCCTGTTTCCTTCTTTCCTCTTAGTTCTGGGGCAGCGCTGCCCTACTGGGGCGGGTGGGTGGAGGGCCGTGGAGGCAAACGGCGCCCTAGGTTGACTCGGTATCACCCCCAGGACCCGCCCCCTCCTCCATTCCCGCAGGGTCAGAGTCCTGGGTGCCCGCCAAACCGAGACAGCTCGAGGGCAGTTTTCCACTCGATGGGGCGGGCCCCAGAACCTGGGAAACACGCCGCCCAGGCCCCTCGCCCCAGCAGTGCAGGGGCCAGGGAGGAGCGAGGGAGGGGGCAGGGTGCCACCTAGATAGTGATTCCCTCCGCCCGCCCCCTCCCCGCTGGCCCGGCCCGGCTCGGCCTCTGGTCCGGCAGAGCCGGCAAGGGTTAAAGGCGGCCACAGGTGAGGTGGGCGGGGCCGCGAATTCGGGAAAAAGGAGCGCAGGGCCGAGGATGAAGGCAGAGAGCGCGGTGAGTCACGGGCGGAGCTGTCCTCGCTCGCTCGCTCGCTCGCCGGCTCCCGCCCGCCCTCCGCCCTCCGCCCTCCCGCCGCCTCTCTCCGCCCCTCCTCCGCCGCCAGCCGCCGGGTCTTGTTGCGGCCCCCTCTCACCCTCGGCTCCTGCCCCTCGCCGCTGGAGAGCCCGCCGGCGCGCGAGGCCCAGGAGCGCCCGTCGGGAGGGCGCCAGCCTGCTGTGCCAGGCGCCCGAGCGCAGCCTCGAGGTAGGAACCCGGGTCAGGGCGGCGAGGGGTGCGCGCATCGGGGATCGTCTCGGAAAGACGCGCCCGGAACGCGCCACAGCCTCCTCTGGCCTTGGGGGAGGTGGTCTTAAAGAATCCGAGGGGTTTAGAGCCCCGGCGGAGTAAAAACGGGGCGGACGGGCGAGGCTGGAGACTGGGGAAACTGGAGCGACTGGGACAACTGGAGGATTGGAAACTTGAGGACCGGGAGTACGGAAGTCCTGACCACCTGAGCACCGGTGATGGGAGAGGCAGCCGGTAGAAGGGGGAAGGAGGGTGTCTCTACCAGCCTTCCCGCCTTGGGGAGCGGCAAGCAGGGGTACGCGCCCGGCTGTCTCCCTTCCCGAGATCTCGGTAGCAGCCTAGTGCATCCCAGGATTGGGCTCCCTGGCCCTGTGGCGGGAGAGGCCACTCTGGAGCCTGGATCGTTAGCCTACCCCCCGCCCCCAACCCCTGGGGCCGTTCCCAGGCGCCAAAAGCTATTAGGGTCCCAGGCCTCACTGCTCCCGCCCAGCCCCTGCTGGGCTGCCCCGCCTGGGCCTGAGGCTCCATTCCTGCCGCTTCACCCTGTTCATTTCTTGTGGTGAGGCAGCAGGAGCCTGAGTAGGCGCCCCAATCCCCCTCTCCCTCCCTCTACCAGACCACCAGGGCAACCTCCCTGGTCCCAGAAGCGGAAGGTGGTAGGGGCATCCGAATCCTGATTTAGGAAGGAAAAGTCCCTGCCCTAAACCACTGCGTCTCCTCCCCCATCATCAGAGAAGGCTCAGGCACCCAAACCCACATACTCCAGGCATCACAGCAGGGCTCCCAGACCTTAGGGAGAGGTGGTGAGACGAGGGGGAACTTCAAGCGACAGGTATGTGGTCCAGAGAGGGGTGGGGGGTTTCTTTAGGTTCCCAGTGGTTTAGGGAAA